GCATGAGGTCATCCCCTTTATCCGTTGAGACATGCCAGGACTTTCTTCTTTTTTCCAAGACACACAATTGCACGTTTAGCTTCCAGCAAACAGAGAATTAACAACTGTCTTTCATGTTTGGTGACTTTAACATTCAGAGGGCAAACATGTAATATACACAACTTGGGATCAAGAGGGATTACTTAACCAATGATTTGACTTATAATATTCAATATTTTAACCCAGACACAATTAACTTTAGTGCATTCCCACATACAGTGAAATAAAGTTCCCTTTTCCTGTTTACATTTGTAACACACATATTTATATTGAATTTCACACACACACACACACACACACACACACACACACACACACACAAGTATAAGAATTATATCATAATATAAGAATTGGTAATTGTAATTAAATTAATATATTAGTAAATGAATAAAAATAAATACATTTAAGAGTTAAATAGTGGGAAATTTACAATATATTGCTACACTATATATTTCGTTATATAAATAAACATTAATAAATATGAAATAAATTATTGTATAAATTAATTGATTAAGAAATATATTCAAGCTAAAAAGTATTTTTTATATTGTTTTGTGGAAAAATATATGTATTTATTTATCTATTATTCACGTTTATTTATGAATGTGTTTACTTTTAATTTGTGTAAGTTTGGTCCTCAACAGGCAAATAACAAACCAAACCAAAATAATTGTGTTGTCAAAAATGTATTTGGTTAGCTTTCACTCATCCTCTTTTGTATTGCACTGACGTAATGCAAGTATACATATTTGTGGCGAGGGATCTTCATACCGCGAATGGAAATAATAGTTTTTAAAATAAAATCACCCTACCGCGCATATAAAAATACCAGACTGGCCTTAAAACAGCTAATTCATCTTGGAAAGGGAAATCGGATTCACCGCTGCAAGAGCTATGACGTAAATGCAGTGGAGTACTTTTCATTCGATAACAAGAGACGCTGGGAGTGCGAAGCAGCCAATCAGATTCAACAGGGTGGGGCTGCTGCACTGAAAACCCTCCTCTCTGGATATGGGAAGGGCTTTCAGGTCACATATGATGACAAATCTAAGTATTGCATTATTAGGATTTACAAACATACTATGAAGACATTCATATAATACACTTTGGCTTATCTTTAACCCTTGACATTACATTCAACAGCAGTGTATTGCTCTACTCCATCACTTTGAACCAACAAATGTTCTAGATATTCAGTGCAGATCCCTGGTGTACTTTGTTTGGTCTGATTCCTCATTAAATTCCAACAGAATAAAGCTACTGGATCACACAAAGCATGTGTATGTAGTGTGTTGGACGTGAACTGGGGGCTGAGGCCGTGAATACTGCATGTCAGTTGTACAGCTGCACGGGGCACTGTGCCATTGGGTGGGGTGTCCTGAGAGGAAACAGTTCCGATTCTGTTGAATGAGCCTCACACTTCATATGCGTCCCATGAACAAGCACCGTAGAAACCCAGCCTGTGCAGGGCTGAAAAAACATCAAACAATTATATTTGGTTTACTCTTAATGTGTTATCAAGAGAGTTTAGTTATAATGCATGCACTTTCACAAATATTGAACATTTATTATACGTACATAACTAAAACAGAAAAAATACAATAAAAAAACAGCTACAAAAATAAATAAACAAAAAGTAACACTCATATTTTATGAGATTTGTAAATTTGAGATTTTTAAATTTGCATTTATTTGAAATTTGATAAAACGAATAATAATAATAA